CTCGGCCTTCCAAAGTGCTGGGATTACAGGCGTGAGCCACCGCGCCCAGGCCCCCAATTAAGTCTTGACATCAACCCTGAGAAATGGCAAAGGTTTTTACAGAAGAGGAAAAATAGACTCAGAGATGAACTGATCTGTCCAAGATCACACAGCCTCTGAGAGCCACAGCCAGAGCTAAGATCTAGAGCTTCTGACCGCTGGCTTGTATGTTCTTCCTTGGACTGTGCTGGGTGTGAGAAGAGACCTGAAGCGCAGAACACTCAAAGAGGCTCTAATTTCTAGGTAAAGGCAAAGTGGAGAGCCACTGGCCAAAGGGTGCCAGGCTGACTGGCCTGTGCTACTCCCATCTCTGCAGCTTCCTGGATGAAGTGACATTCTATTCAGAACAGAGCCTCACAAGACTTACAGATAATAGCTATTTCAAGAGCCCTGAACTGTGATTAATTAGAATGTCAGAGGGCAATGATAAAAAGTGGAAACATTCTGCAGCCTCTGGCAAGATGCAAAAGGTGTTTACTAACTCTTCTCAGAACCGAATTTGCCTTCTTTCTCAGGGCTCACTTCTTCTATGAAGCAGGAATGCGATTGCCTCTCAGGTTGTTGTGGGGATCAAAGGAGATAGGTAAGAGTGTCTCCGAAAAGCCTCACACACTCTTGCTTGTTCATTCAACCAACCAGCATTCATTGAACACAGGAAGTGTGTTAGGAACTGGAGGCAATATTAAGACAAACAAGAAACAGGGAGTTCCAAATCACATTGTTATCTCCCCTCTTGCCTTCTGTCTGTATTGTGGTCTCTCCTTGTCTAGGACCATATGAGGGAAGATAGGCCCTGTAGTCTTGTCTACAAGACTACAATTCCCTAGCTAACTGCTCCCTGTAAGTCTTGTAGACAAGACTACAATTCCCTAGCTAACTGCTCCCTGTAAGTCTTGTAGACAAGACTACAATTCCCTAGCTAAGTGCTTCTGTCCCAGGGAATTCTGGGTCCAACCTCCAGGTTACACTGGATTGGCAGCTATAGCTCATTCAACAAATCATTCATTCACTTATGTGAGTCAGGCATGGCTCTAGGTGCTGAGGATACAGTGGTCAGCAAACAAACAAGGTCCCTGCCCTCATGGAGCTGTCATCTGGGGAAGGCAGCTTCTAAATCAATATACAAATAAATATATGTTCACCAGGCTGGGCATGGTGGTTCATGCCTATAATCTCAGCACTTTGGGAGGCCGAGGTGGGTGGAGCACCTGAGGTCAGGAGTTTGAGACCAGCCTGGTCAACATGATGAAACCCCGTCTCTACTAAAATTTTTAAAAAATTAGCTGGGCGTGGTGGTGGGCATCCGTAATCCCAGCTACTCAGGAGGCTGAGGCAGGAGAATCGCTCGAACCCAGGATGTGGAGGTTGCAATGAGCTGAGATCATGCCATTGCACTCCAGCCTGGGTAAAAGTGAAGCTCTTTTTTTTAAAAAAAAATATATATGTTCATTACCCAGGCATAGTGGCTCTCACCTGTAATCCCAGAAATTTGGGAGGCTGAGGCGTGCAGATTGCTTGAGCTCAGGAGTTCAAGACCAGCCTGGGCAACATGATGAAACACTGTCTCTACCAAAAATACAAAAATTAGCTGGGCATGGTGATACATGCCTTTAGTCCCAGCTTCTTGGGAGGCTGAGGTGGGAGGATGGCTTGAGCCCAGGAAGCTGAGGCTGCTGAGCTGTGATTGTGTCACTGCACTCCAGACTGAGATCTTTTCTCTCTCTCTCTCTCTCTCTATATATATATATATATATATGAACACATACACACACACACACACATATATATACACACACATACACATATATACATATATGTATTTTGCAGGATGTTATGAGGTGAGCAGAGAGGAGTAGAACCCAGTTTAGAAGGCCTGTCTGAGTAGGCCTGAAGCTGAGATCCCTGAAGGATGAGAGGTCAAGCCCTCAAGGCAGAGGGAACAACATGGTCAAAGGCTCTTGAAATGGGAGGGAACACGATGTTTTCAAATAGCTCACAAGAAAAGAGGAAAGCGGTGGCACGGAGACCAGAGCAAGCAGGACAGTGGTTCCAGAAAAGACTGGAATGAGAGGCAGGGGCAGGACCATGCTGGGTGTTACAGACTAAGGCAAGGAATTCATTGTAAGTGCACTTCTAATATCTTCTGCTCTCCCTACCCAGTGCTGGGGAAGACATGAGCTGGCTTGTTCTGCTAGTTCTGTCATTCCATGATAGTGATGAGAGGTTGGGGGTTAGAGAAATTTGGCATGAGACAAACCACCAAAAAATTATCAGCTTCAGCTTCTTTTTAGATGAGTAACCTCTAAACTCATCTGACCCAGAGCCTAGGGACTGGGTGGGTGATGCAAAGCTCTTCATCCCCTGTCCCTGCACTGATCACAGACCTACATAAATAAATTCATTAATTCAGCAGTCATTGTGTCTGCTGCAGATGGACTCCTTCATTTGCTTAGATTGGCTCTTGAGGTGGAATACTGATTTACTATTTAAATCCTACAAGGGGGACTGGCATAGTGGCTCATGACTGTAATCCCAGCACTTTGGGAGGCCAAGGCAGCCAGATCACTGAGGTCAGGAGTTCGAAGCTAGCTGGGCCAACATGGTGAAACCCCACCTCTACTAAAAATTAAAAAAAATTAGCCAGGCGTGGTGGTGGGTGCCTGTAATTCCAGCTACTTGTAAGGCTGAGGCAGGAGAATCACTTGAACCTGGAAGGCGGAGGTTGCAAGTGAGCCGAGGTCACATCGCTGCACTTCAGCCTGGGTGACAGAGTAAGACTCCATCTCAAAACAAAACAAAACAAAAAACAAACAAACAAAAACAACGTACAAGGGGAGGAAAATGCGCATAAATAACTGTGATGAAGAGAGTGACAAAAGCTACAAGAGGGTTAGCAGATAAGCATTTTCCAAGTAATAAAGCTTTTTCTACTACATGTTACAGGAGCCACTAGGTGCTCTTGTAAAGAAAACCAGCACTACAAAGTGGTACGTTATAAGTGATGCAAAGACTACGTCTTGTAGGAAGGAAGGCCAGGTAGAAGCACGCTCCCACACCTGCAGGTGGGGATACAAACTCCTCCTTCCGCTACCTTTCCGGAAGAAAGTTAGCAATAGAGATCAAGAGTGAAAAAAAAAAAATCATTTTGACCCAATAATTCCACTTCCAAGAATCTATCCTTAGGAAAAAATTAGAGATTTGTTCAAGGATTTCTGTTGAATTTTCATTATGAGGTTATTATACTAACGAATAGAAACAACTGAAACACTCAAGTTGGATTACATTATGGGACATGCTCATGATGGCATCATATTTAAGTGAAGTGTTTTTGTTTTTGTTTTTGTTTTTGAGGCGGAGTCTTGCCCTGTTGCCCAGGCTGGAGTGCAGTGGTGCGATCTCGGCTCACTGAAACCTCTGCCTCTCGGGTTCAAGCAATTCTCCTGCCTCAGCTTCCTGAGTAGCTGGGATTACAGGTGCCTGCCACCACGCCCGGATAATTTTTTTTTTGGTAGAGACGGGGTTTCACCATGCTGGCCAGGCTGGCCTCAAACTCCCGACCTCGGGTGATCCTCCTGCCTTGGCCTCCCAAAGTGCTGGGATTACAAGTGTGAGCCACAGCACCCGGCCTTAAGTGAAGTTTCTGAAGCATGGTAGTGAGTTTTGGAAAAAGCTCAAGACATCATTTTAATGAGACATGGAAACTCGTCATTACAATGTAATAGGGGAAACGCTTTGACAGACGAAGTGGGAACAACTGGGAGAGTGAAGGATGGAGGGTCAGGAACAGGGGCATACGAGTTGGGGCTTACAGGTTGGGGAGGTGTTTCCAGATGGAAAGGAAGGAGAGACTGAGCGGAGAGCCCTACGTACTGAAGACGACTGGGAAGGTAACACACCTCTTGAGAAGGGCATGCAGCAGCCATACCTCTCATCCGCCACGGTCAGCAAGCCTATTGTGTTTCCTGGAGTGAGCTGGGCCATCAAGATGGGTGGTGCCCTCCTGCTGGAGAGCGGCTCGGTGGAATCCCTGCCCCAAGGCCTGGCAGCAACGCCCCTCCGCGCCTGCTGAGCCCCACGCTCTCGTTTCCCTGTGTGCGAAATAAGTCCCAGGGCCAACGTAGCCTCCCCACCCAGTACTTCCGGGGGCGCCAAAAAACGACTTGCCCTGACCCGCAGCGTCGATGCAGCGCGCAAGCGCAGTTACCTCCTGGACGCGGCCGGTGTGAAGTTTCACACCCAAGAGGATGAAGGGCACCCACCTGGCTTAAGAGAACGACTCCCAGGTAAAGGGCAAGACCCAGGCGAGGAGTGGGCACAGGGCCAGAGGTGCCCTGTACACTCAGAGCTCTCCCTCTGAGCACCTTGCCTTGCTTGGTTCTCCTGGGCCGCAGGCCACTACCCAGCTCTCTGGGGTTCTGCTGCCTGTTCCTCGCCAGGTCTTTCCCCCAGCAACGCCTTTCCTCTTCCTTCTCCAGCCTGAGTCCTCCTCCCCCTCTCCCCACTGCCCCACCCCTAAGGGACAGAAGTTGGGTGCTTTGAGAGCAGGAGACTGGAGGGAAGAAGCAAGTCCGGGCCTAGCTGCAAGCACTCCCCGACCCCCGCCAGGCTCTTGGATACCTGACTTCTGTTAGGCCGCACACGGTTTGGTCTGAAGTGTTTCTCTCTTAATAGTTGTGGATCTTTCCGATTCCTGATCCAGTGTGTTCAGGCTGGGGCCGTCCTGGTTTTTCAAACCCAGCAGTGAGCTTGAACAGATCCAGAGCTGTCTACTCCAGGTAATAGGAGCTCTAGGCAAAATCAGACTCTTCTCATGGCTTAGACATTTCCTTGCTTATAGCTCCTCTAGGATGTGGGTTGTCTGGAGGTCTGTGTAGCTGGAGGATGCTGGGAAATGTGAGAAGATGTTTCCTCCTTAAAATTTGAATTTTTCTGACCACCTGAATTCTTCTGCTAGTCTCAGATCCCACTCACTGTTATCCTCGACCTTCTGTCATCATTTACCTGCCTAATCCCTGAAGGTAGTGAGTTTCCTGTCACTGGAAGTCCACTTTTCCATGCCCTTACTTGTGGGAGTTCTCACAGATGCTGCTTCTCCTCTGGCTCAGATCATGTCTAACGTGAATGAAGCAGCTCGTCGGCTGTCCAAGAGTGGGACAGGCCTCTATGCAGTGCTGGAGCTTAAGAAGGGTGCCTCACCTGAAGACATCAAAAAGTCCTACAGGTTCAGACCTCAGCCCTTTATTAATCCTTGGAATTTCCCCCTTAAACCTTTTTCTTTCTGTATCTGTTTTGCTTCCCGACTTTTTTGTGGGGGAGGTGGGGGAGAGGAAGTCTCCCTCTGTTGCAGAGCAGAGACAGAGACTGTTGAGAGTGCAGTGGCGTGATCTTGGCTCACTGCAACCTCCACCTCCTGAGTTCAAGTGATTCTCCTGCCTCAGCCTCCGGGGTAGCTGGGATTATAGGCGCCTGCCACCACCCCTGGTTAATTTTTTTCATTTTTAGTAGAGATGGGGTTTCACCATGTTGTCCAGGCTGGTTTCGAACTCCTCACCTTGTGATCTGTCTGCCTCGGCCTCCCAAAGTGCTGGGATCACAGGCATGAACCATTGTGCCCGGCCCTATGACCCATTTTTAAGGCCCAACAAGCCTTCACTTTGGGGCCAAATGGGGCCATCACCCTCTTCATTATGGTATGGGAAGGAGGGAAGGACTTTAGACCTTGGATGCTTGCCTCCATCCTTTGTACCACATCTCATGCATTCCTTCTATACTCTATAGAGACTAATCCCTGTCATTCATTCTAACCCTCCTTCCCCAGACATTTCCCATTGCTTCCCCACCCTCCTTTTGGGTATTGCCTGGGTAGGAAACTGGCCTTGCGGTATCATCCCGACAAGAATCCAGGGGATGCTCAAGCAGCAGAAATATTCAAAGAGATCAACACAGCTCACGCCATACTGAGCGACTCTAAGAAGCGGAAAATTTACGACCGGCATGGCTCGTTGGGAATATATCTGTATGATCACTTTGGTGAAGAAGGCGTCAGATACTATTTTATTATGAATAGTTGTTGGTTCAAGGTACACAATTCTCCAGCCTTCTTTAAGAATAAGGAAAGAAGGGTGACCTTCCTCTTCTTAGGACAAATGCTTCTGTTGTCTCATTTTCTGGGTGCCAGGAGGATTGAGGGAGGGAAGCTTGAACAGTCATATAGAAAACTGCTGGACTGAGGCCATTCTCGCCTACCTTTTAGACACTTGTCATCCTGTGTACACTGCTCACTTGTTGCTGTTGCTGTTGTTGCTGCTGTTTTTGCTGTGGAACACTTAAACCACCACCTGAGCAGGATAGTGGGAGAAAATATCAGCAGAATGTCCAGAGTCAGCCTCCAAGGTCAGGTGAGAACTGTAGGCAGGGACTATGAGGTAAGAAATATCTGGATTAGCCGGGCGCGGTGGCTCAAGCCTGTAATCCCAGCACTTTGGGAGGCCGAGGCGGGT